TAATAGTTTAATGGCAGACCTGACTTACTGCTCATCCTCTTCTGTCATTACTAGACTAGCTTTTGCTGAATTACATAACTGTTGTGGTTTAAGCCCAGCTGTCAACTAAAGCACCATGCAGCCACTCACTCACTCACTCCTTCTCTCCCCCGGTGGGATGGGGAGGAGAATCAGAAGAAAAAGGTAAAACCTCGTGGGTTGAGATAAGGACAGTTTAACAGCACAACACAAGGAAAGTAGTAGTAGTAATAACAATAACACTAATAAAAGAATGTATAAAGCGAGTGATGCACAGTGCAATTGCTCACCTCTTGGAACCCAATGCTCAGCCCATTCCCGAGCCACGATCCCTCCTGCCCCTGGCCGGCTCCCCCAGTTATATATTAATCATGATGTCATATGGTATCAAATATCCCCTTGGCTAGTTCGAGTCAGCTGTCCTGGCTGTGTCCCCTCCCAGCTTCTTGTGAAAATAACTCTATCCCAGCTGAACCCAGGTCAAGAATATAAACGCTTTTGTATTTTGAAGTGGTTTATGGGGGTCCATGGCAGGAGCACAAAGTGACACTGCTTTGTTTTATTTTGAAAATCCATGCAGTGGTACTTACTGGGATCTTGTAATAGCTGGGCTGCAATTGAAACACGACGTCTCTCACCCCCAGAAATTCCTACAAGAATACGGCTTCCAATTATTTTGTCAGCAATGTGGCTGAGACTCAGCTCAGCCATAACTGCATCTACCTGAAAAATAATTACAATTTAGAAAGACTAAACACCATCCAACTCGGATACCTGTGTGCAAGATGAAAATAAAAGAAAAAAAGACATAATTTTAAGCCATGGCTTTTCCAATATGCTGCTTGCATCCATTCTAGTTGGAAGGTATCTGGCCTCATTTCTATTCGATTATGTTTAATACATTATTTCAATTATTATTTTTTAAATTTTATTTTCGTGTATTCTGAAATGGGTAGAATTTTAGCTTCAGTTGACATTAAGAGATGACGAGTTCAGAGCTGGGACTAGAAGTTTAGGTATGAAGCATAATGTGCTGGTCTGGTTTCCAAAATAAGGGAGCAGAAAGGCACATGAATTCTGAGGAAGTATAAAATACTGAGTAGAAGATAGGGTGAAGAGAGAAGACAGAAAGCAAGAGCCTTGGTCAGCAATATCTAATCTTTACTCTCAACAGAGGCCAAAAGGAATCCTTTCATAGATCTGTGTATTGGGTTTGTGTGGCAAGGTTTTGGGAGCAGGGGGTGGGGGTTACAGGGGTGGCTTTTGTGAGAAGCTGCTTCCCCTGTGTCCAACAGAGCCAATGCCAGCCGACTCTAAGACTGACCTGCCACCGGCCAAAGCCGAGCCCATCAGTGACGGTGGTGGTGCCTCTGGGAGAACAGATTTAAGAAGGAAAAAAAGTTGCCGGGACACACAGAAACGGCAGCCGGAAAGAGGAGTGAGAACATGCGAGAGAAACAACCCTGCAGACCCCCAGGTCAGTGAAGAAGGAGGGGGAGGAGATGCTCCAGGCACCGGAGCAGAGATTCCCCTGCAGCCCGTGGGGAAGACCCTGGTGAGGCAGGCTGTCCCCCTGCAGTCCACGGAGGTCCACGGTGGAGCAGATATCCACCTGCAGCCCATGGAGGATCCCACGCCGGAGCAGGTGGGTGCCCGAAGGAGGCTGTGACCCCGTGGGAACCCTGCGCTGGAGCAGGCCGCTGGCAGGACCTGCAGATCTGTGGAGAGAGGAGCCCACGGAGCAGGTTTTCTGGCAGGACCTGTGACCCTGTGGGGGACCCTCGCTGGAGCAGTGTGCTCCTGAAGGACTGCACGCCATGGAAAGGACCCATGCTGGAGCAGTTCGTGAAGAACTGCAGCCCGTGGGAAGGACCCCACACTGGAGAATTTCGTGGAGGACTGTCTCCCATGGGAGGGACCCCACACTGGAGCAGGGGAAGAGTGTGAGGAGTCCTCCCCCTGAGGAGTAAGGAGCGGCAGAGACAATGTGTGGTGAACTGACCCCAACCCCCATTCCCCATCCCCCTGCGGTGCTGGCGGCGGTAGGTAGAGAATCTGGGAGGAAAGTTGTGCCCAGGAAGAAGGGAGGAGTGGAGGGAAGTTGTTCTGAGATTTGGTTTTATTTTCTTATTACCCTACTCTGGTTGACTGGTAATAAATTGAGTTAACTTTCCCCAAGTTGAGTCTGTTTTGCCCATGACAGTAATTGGTGAGTGATCTCTCCTGTCCTTATCTCAACACACAAGCCCTTTGTTATATTTTCTCTCCCCTGTCCAGCTGAGGCGGGGGGAGTGATAGAACGGCTTTGGTGGGCACCTGGCATCCAGCCAGGGTCAACCCACCACAATCTGACACACACCTAATTTCTCAAGAAAGTAGCTTGTAAGGGGCTGGCTTATTAGACCAGTGCTTTTTGGAGCTGTTCTGCCTAGTGAGCATGTCCTGCAGGAGACAGAATAGTGTCAAAGTCACCTCTGCTGTCCATAAGACGTGCCAGCACAAATGGCATTGAACACCTCAGAGAACTGGCTTTCCCATCTGGGGAAGGGGAGCTGACCTCAATACCAACAGCAGCATCTCCTGCAGCAGTAACTGCTGCACCTTTGGGTGGGAGAGTTTTGTCCCAGCATAATGGTGATTCCCTGGGGCATCAGCACAAGCCCCTTGCAGAGGCACGGATCACCAGAGAGCTTGTGTCCTACTCCTCAGCAGGACAATTTCTCCACATTTGCAGAATGGGGATTACAAAACTTTATAAACATAAAACACAGCCATGGATGGAAAGTGCTGCTGGTAAAAGCATTACATGTCTACCTTTCTGGTGGAAGATGATAAAATACAGACCTTCTTTTTGATGAAGTCATCGGAGCATTTCTGAAGAGTTAGTAAAGCAGTGTAGGTCAGAGACTCTTGTATGGTGAGGAAGCTTAACAAAGCGTCACTCTGGAAAAAAAAAAAAAGGTGAAGAGGAAGAAGCAATTAGTCCTGTAGTAACTAAGATCTTGCCCCTGCTCGCACAACCTTCATTCATTCATACAATTTATTAACTGCTTTGTACCAAATTTACTAGTAAAATCACAGTCAGATTACATTACTCCATTACACTAGCAACTTTACTTTCTTTACGTGAGAGGAAGCACAATGCACAAAAATAAATGTAGAAATCAACCTGTGGCACATAAGAGAAGCAATCTCTGAACTGTTGTTTCTTCAGCTGACGCCCATTCACGTATACTTCACCAAAGTTGTCTTTATGTCCCAGTCTTCCTGATATTGCATCCAGAAGTGTTGTTTTCCCAGATCCTTTCAAACAAAAGAAATTAATCATGTGATGAGATGAATTTTATGATTTCAAGAGTGCTAGCCTCACTTGGATGGAGACATATGAGAAGAAGAAAGTATTTTTTTTCTCAATAACATTAAAATAATAAGTCCTGAAAATGCAGCTAGTTAAGGGGAAGTAAAAGGGAAGCCTAGAATGTGTGTAAATTAGTATTTAATTTTTACAAATTCACACTGCATAGTGAAACACTTGGGTTTAGAAGTAACCTTATCTTTTATTGAAGTTATAATTGTTAGTTAGATGACAGAAGACTGAACTCTGAAAACCAAGCACCATGGTTTTACAAAGCAGAGGTTAAAACCAGCTGCAATTTCATTATTTAAAACACAGACCTCAGTCACATTCATACCACTGTGGAAGTCACTGGTATTAACTCCGATCTTATTTCTTTTAAAGTACTGGAACAACTTACCAGAATTTCCTAAAATCCCCATCATCTGGCCACTCTCTACGTGAAAAGAAACATCCTTAAGTATTTGCCGGGTCCATTTTTTATGATATAAAGAAATGTTCCACCACGGGCCAACACGTTCTCTTGGAAAACAAACATCAAAAAAGATTAAATAAGGAAGATTTAAACATTTTGTGTAAAGCAAGTGAATGGTTTATAGCTACTTGCATGTGGGATGGGAGCCTGCCAGTATTTAAAATATTGGAAAAAAAAAAAAAGAAAAAAAAAAATCCCCCTCCCCCCACCCCCCCAGGCTTTAAGTTTTTAACTTCTTCATTGTCTGGAAGATAAAACAAATTCTGAACAGATTTCTCAGAATGACTGCTACAGGGCTTTCGGACTACAACCAAAAGGGGAAATTTAAACTGAGACTGTATTTGTTGACAATGTTTGCCAGCCATTAATCCACCTGACCATTTTCTTAGGGCCTCACGTTATCCTTCTGGCAGCAGTAAGAAAGGCAATGGGAAAGGGCACAGTCTTTGGAAAAGGCCTCTAAAGCACCTCCTTCAGAGAGATGTGAAGAAAAACTGGTGAACCTTCTGGAGGACAGACCGGCTCTGCCTCCCTCAAAGCCATGTACTCTACCCCTGTGGTGGGTGGCCCAGCGCCATGAGGCTGGCGGCCTGGGCAATGTCCATCCATCTTTACTGGGCTGAAGCCAAACCCACGGCCCTCTCCCCTTGGTCCCTGGGGTCAAAGCAGCTCCTGGCGGGCAGGGGCCCTCCCCAGCCTTACCTGACGGTGTAGGAGACGCCCCGGACACTGATGCTGTCGGAGGGCTGCGCCACAGCCTTTGCCTCGCCTGTCTGCCCGCTGCTGCTGCTCCTCTCCAGGGCAGGAGACCCTCTGCCCGACATCCTCTGGTGCTGGGGCCCCACAGGCACCCTCCCTCACGCTGTTGGCCAGGCGCCTGACACTGCCACCACCGTGCCTCCCCCCGCACTGGGCAGGGGCAGCTCCCCACTGTCCCCGGGTCAGAGCAGGTCAGTGCCCCTCAGCAGTCGCCACCGGGGAAGCACCTAAAAGAAAACAGAGGGGCTCTCAGTTCTTCCTTCTTCCCGAGAACAACTGTAGGCGATTAGCTGAAGCCACTATCTGATGTACCTTTAGCCCGAGCTGTTACTGTCCCAGAAGAAAGGAATATCTCCCTGTCCACAGGGTCATGCCAGCCACAGAGGCACAGCGCGCCATGAGAAACGGTGCTGCAGTGAAGGTGCCTGGAAAGGGCTGACCTCAAAACCAAGAAGAGAAGGATTGCCACAGTTTTCGAAGAGCCAATAGTCAAACCACCACAGGGAGGGAGGCCTTCCACTGCCAGCATGAAGGAAGCCACTGAAAATGTCCCTCTGGACTGTGCTGGCTGGAGCCAGGCAGCATGTGAGGGCTTACTGGTGAGTGAGACCTGTGGGGAGCGGGGAGGGACCCGACGGGCTCAGTCATCCCACAGCTACAGCTCTTGCCCAGGAGCTGGGAGATGTGAATGGCCAGCCTGCTGACCAGGCTTTCTCAGGCAGCAAGCCCTTATCTCCTTCAGCTCTGAAACGAGGAGCAAGAAAGAGTTCTTGTGCCCACAAGAGCGCACTGGGGACAAGGCTGTTGCCACCCAAGCTGCGCTCAGGTGCCATGGTGGTGGGGCCGAGGGAGGGGATCTTCAAACACATGGATGGAGCAGAAAGTCCTTGAGCACGGCTGGAACTCGCTTTTCTAGGACATGCTTTCAGGCTGTAAAACCCCCTCCTCACATTTGCTGGGGACCACCTATTTTTTTAAAAATTAAGTTCAATGTAAGCAAGAACACGGAGTGCTTTGGCAGGAGGGGAGCTTGGAGGGTGGCTTTTCAGGCTGCTTGGTGTCACGGTGCTTTCCGCTGCGTATCTACACTGAAAAGATTAATCAGCCTTGTTTGCTGTGAGGGTAGCATGTGCGCACAAAGGTTGTGGTTACCATCTTCCAAAGATACCACAGGCAAGATAGGGTCTGCTGTACAGGGAACAGGTACATTTGCCTTGGCTAGGATATGAGTCTGACTCGTAAGAAAGGCACAAGGCTGTGGGAGAGATATGGCTGTCTGGAGTAAAAACTACTGGCATGCACACAGAATTAAACCCAAAGCCAGAAAGCTGCCTCAGCAAAGAGTTCTTAATTGCAGCTGTATGCAAAAGGTTAACCAAGCCAATTAGAGACTCTGTTACTTTAACTGAAATCTCAGAACACTAAGTTCCACTTGACAAACTGTGAATTTAAGAAACAAAAGAGGAGAAAAGAGTCTGTACTAGTGGTTGCACACCTACTTGTTCGTAAAGCCTCCAAGTTAATGAGTCTCTGTGGAATTCAATAACGAACATACTTCAAGTAAACTTTAATTTTTAGCTGCCATAACTTATGACTTTCAATATGCACCATTTTGATCCAGTAGACTAACACTGCTGAAGCAGTACTTTTTTCCCTCAAAACCAGAAATAGAGTCCAATCTCTTTGTAGTGGCATAACATTTATCTCCATTTTGAAAGCGATCCCATTTAAACTGAAAGCAAATAGAAGAGCATAGCACAGCATGTTTGGCCCTCATACATGCCGCTAGAACAAAGTACATTTCACACTGATTAACAGATAACTTATCTGAACCCGTCAGACTTTTGCACTACAGTAACTCACCAACAGTACTGTTATATTCCATAAAATATATTTCCCTTTGTGCTTCGCCTTTTCTGAACTCAAACTTCAACAGAACTTTAGGTATTGTAATTAACCTAATAACTTTTCCAGACCAAGGCCCAGGATACTATTTTTTGCTCTGAAGAAGATAACAGCCTGTATTTCACATACAGCGGAAAATCAAACGTTCTCGAGGTCAAAGAACTCAACTACGAGGTAAAAGTTGTAATTTATATACCTCCCTTCATCAGGAAGCATATCCAGCAATGCTTGTTTCTATATGCAAGCCATTTTAAATGCCAAACAAATTTGAAGTTCAAACACAAAGTTCACATGACTGTTGCACAGTCAAATATACAGAAGTCTGGTGAGCAGAATCATGCTCTTGACTGCAATATTGACAGCAGGCTAAACCCTCCATTGTAAATATATCTAGTAAAGCTAGGGGATAAGACAGGAGAAATCTGTTTCTAGGGTCTGGTTTTTCTCCGTGTTGAGTGAAATTATTCCTCTGAGGGCTGGGGCAGAGGGACTTTCTGTCCAGCTAGGGATGGTGGGAGCCCCTGCTGGCAAGAATGGGTATGTAGAAGGAGACAAAGAGAAGATGACTAACAAGGAGGATTTCAGGGAACCAGTGAAATTTTTCATGTCCCTTTGTGCCACCATGGCATCTGAAGTGGATTTCACAATTTTCAGTTTTGTGTAATTTCAAATTATATTAAAAATTTTAAACATTTGAAATTTACAATAGCAATAAATCACCAGAGGACAGAGACAGCTTTAGTGATTAACAGAATAAGAAGCTGTCATGGTTTAACCCCAGCCAGCAACTAAGCACCACGCAGCCGCTCACTCACTCCCCCCCCATCCAGTGGGATGGGGGAGAAAATCAGGAAAAGAAGTAAAACTCCTGGGTTGAGATAAGAACCGTTTAATAGAACAGAAAAGAAGAAACTAATAATGATACCACTAAAAAAATGACAACAGTAGTAATAAAAGGATTGGAATGTACAAATGATGCACAGGGCAATGGCTCACCACCTGCCGACTGACACCCAGCCAGTCCCCGAGCGGCGATTCCCTGCCCCCCACTTCCCAGTTCCTAAACTAGATGGGACGTCACATGGTATGGAATACACTGTTGGCCAGTTTGGGTCAGGTGCCCTGGCTGGGCATGAGAAGCTGAAAAATCCTTGACTATAGTCTAAACACTACTGAGCAACAACTGAAAACATCAGTGTTATCAACATTCTTCACATACTGAACTCAAAAATAGCACTGTACCAGCTACTAGGAAGACAGTTAACTCTATCCCAGCTGAAACCAGGACAGAAGCAAAGCATGAAAACCGTACTTGGCTGTAAAAGAACTTTCTTCCATGTATTTCTGAAAATTAACAGTATTATTTTAATATATTCTCTGCTTGTAACATCATAACTTTGAAGGTATGTATTACTAAAGAGTTTATTGTTTGAATGGAAGGGACTTGTTTCTTTCTTCGTTAGGTTAACACGGCATCCCAGATTCCCTGGTATGAAAATCTTGCGCAGATGAAAATGCCCTGGACCTGGACATCAGATCCCCATTCTCACATGTCAATAATCCAGAATCTGAATTTAAAAGTTCAAAGTGGTCAGATGCTAGCTATTATAGGAAGCACTGGTAAGAGCAACCAAATTTCATTATTTGACCAACTCTCCGGTAAAATGTACACAGCCAAGAGCAATACTCTGCAGTCTTATGAATGGCAAAATCTAGCTGAGAAACAACTATTGGAAATGTGTCATTTAAATACATTATTTAAAATGTATGAGGAAACAAAAAATGATACTGGGGGGGATTAAAATTTCTTTTCAAAACCAATTTTGTTAAGACTTGTACACATTTGCTATTTGTTTCCTGAGGTGTAATGGGGTATTGTTATAACTGTAGCCTGCAGTCCCAGCTCTGCTGGACAAGAATCAGCTTCATGGCTCAGATTCAGAACAGGCCAATTGCAGACCTCACCCAGTAACATAGCAGACAAATGAGGCCAGACCCCGTAAGAAAGATCAGTGGCAACTATGCATAGCCATAAGCCGGAATTTCCTTCAGATTGTAACAATTCTAACAGGATAAAATACCTCATTTGGATTAATTAAGAGAAACTTACAGAGGAAAAAAAAGACAGTTCCTCTTCTGTTTTAAAGCTGAAACCAGGACAGTTTGGCTTTAAAATGGGTCTCTGCTTTCTTACATCTTTTTTTTTTCTTTCATTTTCTGGTGGAACTGGTTTAATCTTCTCCAGGGTGAGGTTGACTAATGGAGAGATGGCCTTTACCCCATGTGGTTAGTTGAGTCTAAGCTCATCTAGGGGTACAAGAAGCAGATGTGTGACCTGTCAAACTGAAGTAAAAAGTACTCATACTTTGGAGGTAAAAACCCCCATGCTGTGTCTTCACTAGACTCCTACATCAGGTTAGCTCAGTGATTCAGTGAAGATGCTCTCTCTCAAAGGCAAGGCATATTTACCAAAGAAGTTTTAACTTTATTTCTACAAAAGAGGTTTGTCTTCCCCATTGCCATGGGAATTTTTTCTTAGCACATATCCTTAATGTAATTGAAGTTGTACCTTAGAGATTCTCCTGATAATAAAAGGAAAAGCTTGTGATGAAATAACATATTGAGTTACAGATATAGCACCTTTGTAAGGTAACACACACTGAGCACAAACCCCCTTCAGCAAACTAGTCAAACTATTTTTAAAAGCTGTTTATCATCTATTTCATCAAATGCCTTAGTAAAATGGATTAAACTGTTGATGGGTTTCACATTGTCAATGGCAATCAATATGTCACTCTTAAATAGAGCAATATGTAGTTTACAGATGGATGGGTTTCTTTTTAAAAATGTATATATTAAGAAACAAGCGTGGAGTTAATCTTTCAACTGGGAGACTAGAAATAAATGACATCTTATCATAATAAGAGAGCTCTGTGTGTTTACATACAGTATCATACAGCAAAAAAGAAAAATTCATTTGCTATTTAATTCCAAATCAGGTGGTGTTTTCATTGTTTTACTTTTCTTACCTCAGAGTATGAGCCAGCTTTTCTTAATTATTTAAATGACTTTTTGTCTTATTTAAGTCATAATAATTTTTATTTCAATCATGATTAAGATTCTTGTTGTCTGTATAATTATTCAGAGCCTTAGTCATGCAGCTGTTCCAGCTGCCATTTCTGAATTCACAATTCCCTCCACAAAGCAAGCTCTTGCCGAGCATTTAGATCCCAGCCCTGCAACCAGCGCGGGACACCACCTTTCACCTATGTTTCAAAAATGAAAGAGGTAACAAGAAGACAATCTTGCTTCTTGAGTTCATGGAGCTTTCCTCAACACCAAACTACCCAATTCTGCTGAGAAATGACAAAGGTTAAAGCCACGTAATCCCTTCCAGAGGAGAAAGATTTCCTGAATGTGAGCTTGTAGTCAGTATTTTCTTTCAAGACCATTCTGTCTCTGTGGCTTTGGAAAAGCTTCAGGAAAGGTTGGGGAAAAGACGTTAAAGAACAAAAACTTCTATCCTCTGTCTGTGACTAAATCACTTTTCAAAATGATCCCTTGGAAATTAATTTAATTTTCAATTTTTATTTTTCTATCTAGCTGGTGGAAAGACATCCTTGCTTGATGTGATAACCTGCCGTGATCATGGAGGCAAAATCAAGTCTGGTCAAATCACGATCAACAACAAACCCAGCACTCCCCAGCTTGTTAAGAAATGCATAGCACATGTGCGGCAGGATGACCGACTGCTCCCCCACCTGACTGTCAGAGAAACACTATTGTTCGTTGCCAAACTGCGCCTTCCAAAGTTTTTTTCAGACTCACAAAGGAAAAAAAGGGTAATTAAGCTGTTGGAAAAAAATAAAGTTGTCAAAAATGTGTCTGACAGGAATTATCCAAGAGATCCTGTGTGTTTGGAGTCAGAACAGCTAATCTGGCATTTTTTAATGTAGATTATGAATTATAAACCTTTTTCTTCTTTCAAGATAGAAACCAGCAATTGTTCCAAAGCTCGTAAAGAAATGACAATCTAGAGAAAGCATTAAAGAGGCTGAAAGAAGAACTGAATTGCTGATTGCTGAGTCTTTTTTAATGTTATCTCTAAAACCAAGAATTGTTTTCAAGTGTCTCTTGATCAGGTAGCATTGAAATATCCAGATGAATTTTAACCACATTAATCATATTTTCAGCTTTATCTATGCATGAATGTGCAAAGAAACTCTTGCTTTATCTCTGTTACCCTTTGGATCCCCCCAGGTAGAAGATGTTATAGCAGAACTACGCTTGTGTCAGTGTGCAAACACCAGGGTAGGGAATGAGTACCTCCGTGGCGTTTCGGGAGGTGAGAGGCGGAGAGTGAGCATCGGTGTGCAGCTGCTCTGGAACCCGGGTAAGCAAAACCCGGACACCTTCCTTGTGTCGACCATAGGCCACTGGGGGAAAATGGGGCAGTAAATGAAGACAGGAGCTTTCAGGGAAGAGTCATGCACACAGTTGCTCCTGGGGCAGCTAGAGGAGTTCATACTTAGGACACTTAACAGGTCTTGCACCACCCTCTGCCAGAGGTTACCTCTCCCTAGCAAAAATTAGACACAGTGACTGGGTGTTTGCTTAAATTGAAATCAGTGCTGATCACAGATAATACTGTAATTATTACAGTAATGATTCTGTAAATGGAGTGTTTTAGCAGCCAGCCCACATTTGCTTCTGTCACCTTTGCCAGTGGAAAAGCAGTGACAGAGCCAGGTAGAGCTCCCCTGGGAGCCTTCACCCACTGCTCTCTAAAACCACCATCACACAGACTACTGAAAGTCACCTGAAGTCACCCTCAAAGCAGTGCTCTGGTTTGTGCATATCAGCATGAGGTTTGTTTTTTATCTGACTGCATGCCACAAGTTACTTTGGAAGGCTGCTGGCCTATTATAACATGGAGAATTGTTTTCCTTCCCTCCAACCCAGCCCATTTACATGTGTAATGTTAACAGGGAAGGTCATTTTCTTGGCTGAATAGTCAGTCATTGTGGTCTTGTGCAACTCACTGACGTGGCTGGCTCATGCCACAGGTGAACTAGAAACTTTCATCGTCTTCAGTAGAAGCAAACATGAGGCTAAATCTGCAGTTGATTTTGCAGGACTGAATCCCCCATCTGCTCTTATATATCAAAAGCACTACTAAACTTCGCTGAGCCTCCTGTTGAGCAAAATTTCCCATCAGCACTTCCACTGGGAAGTGGATCTGAGAATTTTTTACTTGTATAAAGTTGTATTTTTTAACTGTGGGGCAAGCTGAAGTCTTTTTTGTAAGAAGTGATGCTCAGGAGTAGATGTGCTAGTACTGAAGTAAAAAAATAATTAGTTCTAGGAGAAACATGTAAAGCTTTCTTTACATTTCAAACATGTTATACCCCTCAGCACAGAAACCATGTCTGTGTACAGACATTGCCTTGCGCTGATTGAGGCCATTAAGTTCTGTAACAACACAAACACTGCAAAGTAATAAAACACTTTCAAGTTTGTAACAACCCATTGCAAAACAAACAAACAAATCCAAACATACACATATCTTTTCATATATATGTGCAAATAGGTGCAAAATAGAGCACAGGTTGGGAGGAGGAGGAGCTGTCTAAATTAATACTATATAAGTATTTGCACATGAATAATGCAAGAGGTTTAAATATCGAGCATTTAGGTTAAAATATTTCAGTAGGCAGGATACAAAACTAGGACTATTGTATTAATTAATATTCATGTACCTGATATTTGTACAGGCAGTGCAAAACTGCAGAGAAGAATTTAAATTTAATAAGGCACCTAAATCTGTATCCCAATGAAAAATAAAAATAAATTCTTGTTTCCAGTGAGAGCAAGATAAGATTTAAAATAATTACTCTTAGTCATCATGTTCAGTAAGATAGTGGAAGAAATTGCCATTGTTGAATATTACGTGATGCTGGTATGAAATATACTTTGGACTTTAAAAAAAAAAAAGGAATCTATCAGTGAGATTTCATGCACTAGCACCATTTCACTTAGAACATATTTTCCAAATCAAACATGCTGCTTTCCACTTATTGTCTTTGGCAGGAATACTCATACTTGATGAACCCACATCTGGACTGGACAGTTTTACTGCACATAACCTTGTGATAACATTATCCAGACTGGCCAGAGGAAACAGATTAGTTCTTCTTTCACTTCATCAGCCCCGGTCAGATATCTTCCAACTGTTTGATTTAGTTCTTCTGATGACTTCTGGAGTCACTGTCTATTCTGGAACAGCTAGAGACATGGTCCAGTATTTCACAGAACTCGGCTATCCCTGCCCAAAGTACAGCAATCCTGCAGATTTCTATGGTTAGTATCAAGCACTGCCATAAAAAAAGGTTACTGGAAATTGTTCGCTTTCATAAGTGTATCAGCTAACATTGATTTTTATTGACCATAACTGTCTTAGAAATGCCTTATAACTGACTCAAATCAATACTGCAGCAAGTTCAGTTTTTAATAAGACCCTTACTTGTCAGTACAGGAAATGTAACAAAAACAAGAGGTATGGACAGAATCAATTTTAAATAATCCTCCTTCTAACCCTGCCAGGTGTAGCAACTTTTCCACATGCTTAGCACACTTATTCCCATGTTTTAGCTGGTTAAACTTTTACCGTCATTGGGAGGAACTGATCAATTGCTTTCTGTAGCCAGTTCTCTGACTTCTGAATCAAGAAACACAGAAAGCTAGTTTCCAAGGGTGAGGAATAATACACACCTGGAACAGTAAATGGGAAAGAGGAGTGCTGCCCAACAGAGCACACTGGAAGAGAAAAAAGCCAAACCCAGAACGACAATCCTTTTATTTCTTTTCTCAAAGTTAACTACATGCTTCCAAATCCATTCTTCTGTTTTTTGCAACATGCGAAGGGAACCTGGCCCTGTTACTCTAATGGCAGTAGTCTCTTACCACAGAGGTTGATTCAGTTCCAGCCCTTAGGTCTTTGCACTCAAGTTGGCTAGGAAACCTTGTACAGACACCAACTGCAATGCTCTGGAGTAACCTCTTCGGCTGTGCCTATGTGGCAGGCAGTATCAGCTGTGCAGAGATAAACAGAAGTTACCCTCAGTGTCAAGCCCTGCAAAAAGACCTTTGTCACCACCATGGTTTAGAGCAGTCCTCAGCCAAGTGCAGCCTTGAGGAAGGCTTGCAGTAGCCCCGTATGGGAACGGAGAATATGAGGCAGTCCTGGGGAAACTTGTAGCTACAGCCTGTGGTAACAGAGACAAACCCCTATGACATGGAGGCTGGGAGGGATGAGAAAGGAAGGTGGAAGATCATTTAACGGTGTGCACAGAGTCAGTACCCATAGGAAGAGAAGAGAAATATGGGCAACAGGAAGGTGGAAACAGGACAGGATATTAGAGGATGCCACAGCAAGAAGGAGCACCTGATGGAAATGCACAAATGCTGGCTGTGTGTCTGATAGAGAAACAGGAGACCATGGCAGAAGGGAAGAGGTAGGACAGATTGCAGCTCAGTTCTGATGGGCTCCTACTGAAGTGTCCAAACAGAGATGATCAGCCCAATGTAAGGAGTTACGAAATGTGCAGTGATAGTTCTCTCAGAAAGCATTTGCAAAAGTCATGTGTTGTAACTCTATACTAAAGGTCAGCGTTAGAAAATACTATTATAAGTTTAGATTAAAAAAAATAATTTTGTTAAGTAAAAAAAATAATGCTAAGTGAACTATTGTTGCTGCTACTATGTTGTCCATAGATAAAATCTTCTTGGGCTTTCTCAGTATCAGGTAAAGTTTATGGCACCTTTGTAAGATATAAAAAAAAAACCAAAACAAAACCTAGCATTTTGCAGATGGAGAAAAAACCATGTGATTTAAGGCAAAGTCACATAACAGACTGTAAATGCCTACATGCCAGGAAGGAAATTCAAACTGTTTATTCTCAGCACTCCTCTCAAGCCACTATTAATTTTAGAAAAATCTGAAATAGTAGTTTAAAATATTATAATAAGCAATTATGAAATCTCTCAGTGATTCATTGAATGACTGGGTAAAAACATCTCCCAAGACAAAATACACATTAACAATCTGTTCTTCTCTAATTATCTAAAGTAACTGATAAAGTTTTAACTGTTGTAGCTAATGCATGCCCACAGGTCGTACTGTCTGTTCATGATGAAATCTCTGATTCTAAACACATCATAAAGTTATCACATCTGTAGAACATGGGCTCATGTCAAATAATGTCTTGCAGTTGATTTGACCAGTATCAATAAACAGACTGCAGAAAAGGAGATGGAAAGCCGAAAAAGAGCAAATACTCTTGCCAACTTGTTCCTAGAAAAAGTCAAAGATTTTGATGATTTCTTATGGAAAGTTACTGACGGAGACAATGTTGCAACCACATTCAGCAAGCAAAGGTAAAGAAAAGAGTGTTGTACAGCATATCTGGAATAACAGCTACAGCCTGTGCTAATCTTGATTTTTTTTCTCTTTTCTTTTGGGCAGGTCCCATTTAAATTCAGAAGAGGCTATCAACATGCCCCACCATTCAAGTGATCAGTTACCAGGAGCCTTAAAGCAGTTCACTGTATTATTAAGGTAACCTTATCTCTAGCATAAACAGTTATTTATCATGCCCGTTTGTATTTTAAAGCATAAGAAAGAAGCACAAAATGAGAACTGAGTACATGCTGAAAGTGCAGAGCTAGCACTAGGCCTGAGCAAGTCACAGAGCAGAGGTGTTGCTATACCAGCTCACCCCAGCCCCCTGAGCAGGACGGCAGCCAGATGCACAGCCCCACCTTTCTGCCCCAGGGCTCCTTCCAGACACAGTCAGCTCCAGCTCACATCTCTGGGAGCCTGCAGCTTTAAGGAGCAGCAGAAGCCTCCAGGCTCTGGAACTGTGCATCCCAGTTTTGGGTACTGCCATCCTGACACCCATGCTGAAGTGTGGTGACTCAACCCTCAGCAAGCCCAGGCAGCCGCATGGTAGGCTTCACTGATTATAGCCAGCACAGGTAAGTATTGTAGTTGGGTTTCATGCTTATGTACTCAAAAGAAACATGATCAACTGAATTAATACATGTAGAACATCACTATGAGCATCAGCCGTTACTAGCATACGCTACAGGTCCTTAACAGAGAGACTTCTATAACTGAAGTAATTGCTTCTACGTCTCTGAAATCAGACTGTCCCACCCCCACTGCCTTCCTTCAAGCTTTCAGCATTTCAGACCTGAAATACTAGGCAGCTACAGACACCCAATAGCTTTGATTAGGTAAAATCCTTTACAGAATCAGACAGCCCACCTCCCATCCTACTCAAAGTCGGCAAGTTCCACAAACTGATTTTAGCAGAGCATTTGGGGCAATGTGTCTGAATATAACTGGCATCAGTAAGTACTATACCTTATGGTCAATGTTGCTGTTTTCCTAGTCGTCAAGTCTCCAATGACTTCAGAGATCTTTCAACATTATTAATCCATGGATTTGAGGCCCTTCTCATGTCATTATTAATTGGATTTTTGTACTATGGCCATGACAAAACCAGACTCTCTATTCGTGACACGACAGCACTGTTGTACATGATAGGTGCACTAATCCCATTCACAGTGATTTTGGATGTTATTGCCAAATGTAAGTGTCAGTTTTCTTGTAAATGTTACAAGCAATCAAAATCAGAAAATTCCTAAATCAATGAAAATATTATACTTATTAATGCAACCCTAGGAAGAAACCAACCTGTTCGTTCCTACCCTGCAGGTCATTCAGAAAGAGCTATGCTTTATCATGACTTGGAAGATGGAATGTACTCTGTTAGTCCATACTTCTTTGCTAAGGTAATTGATTTTGTTGCCAGAAAATAAAACAGCTGGCTTTAACATTAAAAAACACAAACCAACCAAAGCCTTGTTGCATAAATGATCACATTCGTATCAGATTTTGTTCTTTTGTGTCTGCCAGCTAAGGCTATCATTCTTGCTTCCTTGGCATTAATGGGTTAAACCTCACACTACTTTAGATCTGTTGCCATAAATCACGGCTGAGATCCAACCCCAGAAAAGCCAAGGAAGAATCTCTCACTGGGTTGTTTGTCCAAAATTTGAGAAATCTCAAACTCAGATTTGAGGGTTTAGACAGTTTTACATACCTGCATATTTTATTCATTGAAGCATCTTTGAAAGTTTGATTACATGTCTTGATCTGTAAAACAAAATATTCCTATTAAATGCTGAAGCAAAGGTAAAACAACCATGGCAAAATGCTAACTGTGATATTTCCAGTAGTTGTTTGGGTCTGTACTGGTCAGAGGCAAACAATTGTATTAAGTGCATATAGAGCCAGCGTTTCTGGAAATAAATTTAGAACTTTAAAAAAAAAACCCCACATTCTTTTTTTCACAAGGGTTTAGAATAATCCCTTCTTTGTGATGTTGCCACCGTTAGATGAGTTCTGCCTGCCATGGCATCTGTAATTTAGGTTTCCATTTCTGCACAAAATTTTAAATGCTTATTAGTGGTTGCCAGAGAAAAATATTCTTTGCATTGTGTCACAAAGATTGCACATTATTCATAGAGAAATCGATGTAATTTGTTACAACCTTAGTATTAGAAGATAGTAGCAACCCTCTTTGGAAGAATTAATCATAATACTCTCTATACGTATCTTCAGATATTTGAGAAAATTCTAAGCATGTTTTTGTTTTACAACGAGTTTAGTAGTTACTAACTGGCCTGCCTTTGGGACAAAGTGGGGAAGTGACCAACAGCCAAATTTGTCTCAAAGCTGATCTCACACTAGGTTCAACCAAATTTGGACAAAACATACTGTTGCCATGAGTCAGTAACAGTGTTACTGTTATCAAGCACACCAGTTCTCAGGGAAAGTTTCCTAAATTCTCAGAAGCTGCCAAAACTGTTAACAAAACAAGACGTCTAATCTGTAACAAGAATCCTCTCAATTTAATAATTAGTTATAGGAATTATCACAACTGGAGAAAAAATTAGTGAAGATTTCAATTTCTGTTGTGGATTGGTTTTGCATGTCACTGACAACACCAAACAGGGAGATGATTGCATTCTAAGGAAGCATTTGCTGTAGTTTTAATAAACAGTCCATAAGTACATTAAGGTGCATCTCAGGTGGTTTTGTAATTCTCATTTGACTTAACCTCTGCTGGGGGTTTTTTTTTTTTCTTCCCTAAACAGATTTTGGGGGAGCTCCCAGAACACTGTGCTTTTGTTATAATTTATGGGGTTCCCATCTACTGGCTGGCAAACCTCATTCCTGAACCAGAACATTTCCTGCTGAACTTCCTCTTGGTGTGGCTGGCTGTCTACAGTGCCCGCGCGATGGCACTTTGGGTGGCAGCACTGTTACCGACGTTACAGCTTTCAGCCTTCTTCGGCAACGTCCTTTTCACATCATTCTACCTGAGTGGTGGTTTTGTGATAAGCCTAGAAAACCTCTGGACAGGTAAGGCAAAGCTCCCACCATTTCTCTGAACTGAAACGTCGATGGCTTTCATCAGCAACTGGTTTTTGTGAGGCTGAGTGTGTCCTGTGCAGGAAAACTCACCTTTATTCCTACCTTTGCAATTATCTTCTTGGGTGGTGACGGTGGAGTCAGGTCATTCATTTTACATCAGTTTCTCCATCTGAAAATGAGGTAACAAGAAGTCTGGTCAAAAAAGCACTAGTAAAAGGCTCAATTCTTACGTGTTTGCTAAATTTTTCAATAAAAAGAATTCTATTCAGTAGATGAAGATTGAGCTCTAGTGAGACTTATTTGACAGACATGGATATTAGCGCTCTCCTAATTTTCCGTCTCCACATAAAAATATGAAGTATATCTGCCATTTTGTCCAATAATAAACTGTTATACATTTACAGCCTTTGTTTGCCAAGAAATTAGAAAAAAACATGCTGTATTTGGCAGCAACACAGCAGTTTTTGAGGTCTCAAGTTTTGTGTATGTGTATCAATTTCTTTCTTTCTGCCATTTTTTTTTTTCCAGTTCCATTTTGGGTTTCTAAAGTCTCTTTTCTCAGATGGAATTTTCAAGGCATGATGCAAATTCAGTTCACTGACCTCACATATGAAATGACTGTTGGAAATACTACTTTTCAAATACCAGGGAAACTTGTAAGTCACTAATAAAAATTGTTACAAACATTTGATAACCAATTAGAATGCCATTTATATGCCCATCATATTTAAGTAGATTTTGTAGGCCTCAAATCTGGCAAGCACTAAATCAGTACGTGAAGTCACGTTACACGTGGTATATTTTAAATTTGTCCCTACAGATGTCACTCCTTTTATGCCTTTCTTTTTAGTGGAAGGTAAAAAATAAAAAAAAAAAAAAAAAAAAAAAAGAAAAGAATGAAGGGCCAGTATTTCTACACAAGCCCCAACTACGTGCTTGCTGAAATTGTTCAGAAGCCGAACTGTCTTCCCCTGAAATTCCGCAGCCACTAGACATAGCGTAGCTGTAACCAGCCGTCAAACCGCTCTGAAAGTCACATCCAGCTGGAAACCACGGGGAAGGGCGGCAGGGGCCAGGGAAGCTCACACGTAAAACAGGCTTCCCAGATCCAGCATGAAAATCTCGTGTCGGTTCCTAATGTTGCGTCTTCCGCGGTTACAGGTCACCCAGGCTCTGGACCTGGACTCCCACCCTCTCTACGTAAGCTACCTCGTCCTGGCGGGTATCGTCTGCAGCTTCCTGCTCTTGTACTACTTACCTCTGAGGTTCATCAAGCAGAAATCCAACCAAGACTGGTAACAGCAAACCTCGCCGAGGGGGCAGCAGGTTACGGCGTCCCTCGCAAGAGGCCCGGGAAAGCCCACGGGCCTGTTTGCGGCCACCGCGGCAGCCGCCCGGGGAGAGCCGGTACCTGCTGCGGGCGGGGGGGGGCGGGCGAGGCCGGCCCGGCCCGCCACAGGATGGCAGCAGAACACCGGCAGTGGGAAGGCGGCCGCCCTCCGCCGCGGAGCCTGCCGGCGAGCGGGCTCCGGCCTGGGGTCGGGCTGGCGGCCGGGGCGGCCGTCTGACCTGCGGCTTCTCTAGGTGACCGGGCGCTTAGGAGTCCTCCACGCCTTGACGTGTTCTGAGCTATGGGCCACCGGTGTCAAAGGCCCCGTCCCACTTCGCAGCAGCTGGTGCTCTAGTCCACGGCGTTCGAACACGTCTTAACGCGGAGAGCTCCGAGAGAACAGCATCAGCGCACCCCGGGCGCTACTTTCTGTAGCGCGTACGACATTCGGCGCTCAGGCGAGCGGCGTAGAGGAAAGCAACGCAGAAGATTTCGCTGATGCTCCGGGAGAACGTGCGAGGATGGAAAACACAACTGTTAACTGTTCTGTGCTGTTTCTAATCGCTTACGTCGTTTAAGGCCTTGCCTTTGTGTTCCAGTTAGATGCTGTTGATGCCCCGAATAGGTATTTACTCACTGCATAGACGATTTCTTGTAACAGCTAAAATTGTCTCACCTTCTTGGATTATTTCTACAGTATAAACACATACCTATTGATCGTTATTATTCACATCTCTCTCTGTGGCAATACAAATCATAGCAATTCGCCAAGTTTGGTTCCTAAGATTCTCAGGTAGAAAACACCAACCTGCCTCTCCAGTAATTAAAAATTTAATGATGCAATTACAAAAAGCTTGTAATTGTGCACCTAGTTACGCTCAGCCTTAAGACAGAAAGGATCAGAAAATGAGTCGGTAAATAAACGGCTATAATTCACACACAGTCATGGTAAGTGCACGTGCAAATTAGGTGTATAGTTGTTGTGAGCATTTTATAAGATTACCTTGATTGATTTTAAATGTTTGGATGCAGATCTCTGTGCTTATATACAGAGACCCAAAGCACATCACCTACTCAACTTTCATTTACATGTTGCACACAGTGGAAAACCCCTTCTATAATTGGCTATAACACCCCTGATATTGTTACGTAAGTTGCCCCCCCCCCTTTTTTTTTTTAAGAAATAAGAATGAAAGAACATCGGTATTTTATTATTCTATTTGGCAATTAGGACTGCCACATTACTTTCCACAGATTCCATGTGGTAATAGATTCCCAGGAAGACCCTAGTCTAAAGAAGTTAAGCAGGTCTGTTAAAATAACAGCTTCAGCCCCGGGCAGCAGTAGAAATCCAAAACACTCTAAGGTTCTTCTAAGGTGAATTCTACCATTTCTTTCTGGTGCTGCTGCATTTGATTTAAAAAAAAAAAAAAACCACTCGATCTGATGCTAGTGCCATTTTGAAATTATCAGATTTTCATTGCCTTTTAATGGCAAAGCCAATTCTTTCTGTCCAATTCAGCATCATTAAATTGTCAGAATAGCAGCTTCCTGTTTGATTCTTAATTATTCCTTTTTATTATATTTAAGACACTTAATTTTTTTAAAGTGGTTTACTCTTCTTTGTAATGATCTGTTATGATTAGAATCTCTTTTATATTACACTGAAGTTTTAAGGGTATATATTGGTACTTCTAGTCTAAACCTCTATTTTCAAGGTATTTAGAGGATTAAATTCTAGGCTGACTCTCTGTTGTGAATTCACTTTGATGTTTAATAAAAAAAGGAGAGACACAATGGGAGAAATTAAAGACATAAGGGACAGCTCTGAATTTTAGGGGCATATTGTCATGCACAGAAATCTTCAGGCATCTAGATAAGAATATACCATAGCCTTAACTTTGAATTTCCTTCCTTTTGTGAAATTAGTCAGGCTGCTGACATTACTTAAACAGCCTTTTTCAATTTAAAATTCCACCCTCTTAACATTATGCAGCAGGACCAAACGGTGTGAGTGTTTCAGAGGTGGTGTTATGACAAGGGTAGATGTATACATAATGGGGACTTGAGCGGTGAGCCTAGGAACAGCCATCGTATGGAGTGTAGGAAGAGCTATCATAGGATGTGGCCAGGCCTGTGTTTACATAGAAAAAGCTCATATTCTATATACTACAATTACATTAGCACACTGCCTATGATCATATCTTGTTTCCTTGATGCCTAGAGATGGGGAATATAGGCTGTGATTATTGTTACAGGCTTTAGCAATAAGAAGATAGGAGCCTTGAAATACCAGCAATTAGCGTTCCTGCCTGACAAAAGCACGCTGTGGAGCTGTGTACAGGGAAGAGCACAGGGATGAGTGGGTGGATGACACACAACTTGCCCCACTCACACTACCGGGAGTTGAAAAATAGTACAAGTTTAAAGGGAATTACGCACCTCTTGGCCAGTGAAGGTCACGCTGTATGCTTTGGCCTCTACGTTCACGTCCTACTTCGTGTTAGTTTTGTGCAGAAAAGGTTTCACATTTCCACAGCAAGAGCTGCTGCTGCAAAAACAAGTGGTTAGCGAGGGAAGAGAAATCTTCCCGGGGGTTCTAACCAAGGCTAAATGTTATAATTTAATTTCATCACAGCTATGCTTTCCAAGTTTCAGAGTAGCCGTTCCTTTTCCTTAGACTCCCTTGTGTCAGCAGCAGCTCAGTGTGCCCTCCTGCCTGCACTCCCCGTACCACCAAAGTTACAGCAGCCCGCAACAATCTCAATATAGAGACTAAAGATCACAAGCAAGACACTGCCCAAAACACATCATACTGTCCGTTCCACACATGACAACACTTAGTTTGTTATGGACGTAAGCACTGTAGTAAGGCAGGCCTGCCATTCGCACAGAGCGCTGCCCGCCAGTCCAACAATGCCGCTGTCCCAAGGATTCACCCACTACTGTCTTTGCTCTCCTGTATCCTCCCTGGCCAGATTTGGAAAAGATCTCCTCAGCTGTAAGTCATGGTCCCTACTACTGCAGGCAACCAAGTCAGTGCAAAACTGGTTTTGAAATGGCACCACGTTTAATCGGTTGCAGAGTTTTGAAGCTGTGCCAAACTGCTGCTTGAATGGCGCAGTGCGTGACCTAACTGCAACAGGCTATGGGGTTTCGGTCTGCATACAAACACAAATCTGGGAATGGGAATGTCAAATATAGGCAATGACGATATTTGTAAGGAAAATTCACCAAATTTAGATTAAAAAAAAAAATTCTGTGTTGGTTACATGGATACTGTAAAGTACTGTGTGGACAACAGAACTGTGTGTTGTTGCAACACCTCTATGTACTAGAGGTGGTGTCTTATCTGTAAAGGAACAGGTAAGAAAAATTTATTACTTAAAGTGTTTAGTACAAGGAGAGGTGGGAAGTTCTTCCCCAACCTCCACTCCAAGTTTATGCATTCTTTCCACTTGGCAAATGGGACAAACTTTTTTAGCACTGGAAAATGGATTATAGAAACACTGCTTTGCATATTGGCTCGTGGGTAGTGGCAGTCCTCCAAAATACTTTTAACTCATTGTTTGGAAAGGACTAGCTTTCACTATGGCTAAGCTAAATTAGTAAGTAGCTGTTGAAAGTTTCATCCCATATTTGTTCATTGCAAAATGCATTCAGAAATGCTAAATAAGTAACAAGTATCAATAACCATCCCTTTTAATTAAAAAAAAAAAACCAAAAAACCAAACCATGAAATTCCTTTTAAAAAAAAAATCACGGACAATACATTACGCAAAGAGACTCAAAGGTAAGAAATTGCAGGCGTTGGTATGTCCACTTGTACCAGAAATAACAAACCTTTCAGGTTTTAGCCACAATGACTAATTTTAATGGCAGTAGACAAGAAACAGTGTACATGGAGCTCTGTGACATGCTGCTTTTTTTTTTTATACTCCAAAAGCCAAGACAAGCCCTTCATATGTTAGCAGCTATTAATTAAGGCAACAATGTTTAAGCAGCAGGTTGAGGTAATTTTAAAACCACTTAACCCTTTTCAGAGTTTATGAGCTTTAAAAAGCATATCTATATGTGCATGTGTTCATATTAACATGTATATGTAGAGGTATCTGCATGAATAGATTATGTATATATGTATATACACACACAGTTGTACTGCCTATGTGTACTGGGTTTGCGTGGCAAGGTTTTGGTAGCGGGGGGCTACAAGGGGTGGCTTCTGCGAGAAGCTGCTAGAAGCTTCCCCTGTGTCCTACAGAGCCAATGCCAGACAGCTCCAAGACAGACCCACTGCTGGCCAAGGCCGAGCCCATCAGCAACAGTGGTGGTGCCTCTGGGAGAACAGACTTAAGAAGGGGGCAAAAACCAAACACCTAAGCGATTGCAGGCAGGAGAGAGGAGTGGGAACATGCGAGAGAAAAAACCCTGCAGACCCCCAGGTCAGTGCAGAAGGAGGGGGAGGAGATGCTCCAGGCACCGGAGCAGAGACTCCCCCGCAGCCCGTGGGGAAGACCCTGGTGAGGCAGGCTGTCCCCCTGCAGTCCACAGAGGTCCACGGTGGAGCAGATATCCACCTGCAGCCCATGGAGGATCCCACGCCGGAGCAGGTGGGTGCCCGAAGGAGGCTGTGACCCCATGGGAACCCCACGCTGGAGCAGGCTGCTGGCAGGACCTGCAGATCTGTGGAGAGAGGAGCCCACGGAGCAGGTTTTCTGGCAGGACCTGTGACCCTGTGGGGGACCCACACTGGAGCAGTGTGCTCCTGAAGGACTGAACACCGTGGAAGGGACCCATGCTAGAGCAGTTCGTGAAGAACTGCAGCCCGTGGGAAGGACCCACATTGGAGAAGTTCATGGAGGACTGTCTCCCATGGGTGGGACCCCACGCTGGAGCAGGGGAAGAGTGTGATAAGTCCTGCCCCTGAGGAGTAAGGAACGGCAGAGACAACGTGTGGTGAACTGACCCC